TCCACCACACCAAACAGAACATGAAAACCACCAACAATTAGAGGCAGTGTGTGATAAAGGCTAAATGAGGGAGAGGGGTTAGGCATTTTGCCTCCACACGCCACCAGCTCTTGAATCTATGCTTGCAGGTAGATTTCCTTAGCGCCAGACCTTAATTCCAGGTGCCTCCCGGATAGCTGCTCCTGAATGACCCACAGGCACTTCAGGCTTCACTTGTTATCAATTAAACTCATTCTCTTCCACTCCTGGATCTATTTGCTGCATTCCATGGTTCATCCACCCAATGCTCAATCTGGGAAGCAGTCCTACCTTCTCCTCTGCCCCCATCTTCAACATCCAATCAAGTACCACATCCTATTTGATTCTGCCTGTAGAGTGTCTTGAAAACCCTTTGCAGCCCTGGCAAAGCCTGCACCAGCACCACCCATGGAATGGATTAATCCAACACTCTTCTAACTGGTCTTCATGTTTCCACCTTGCTTCCTTCTGACTCTTCTCCACTCTGCAGCCAGAATAAACTTCCAGAAACACCCATGTCATCCGGTCCATCCTCAAAACTCTCCAATAGCTTCCCACTGCTGAGGTTGACTTTACATCTCAGTAAGGCTCTGAGACTTGACTCCTACCCTCCACACCATCATTCATTAATCCATCTGTTCTCCAAACACTGAGTGCCTGCTCTGTGCAAGGCACTGCTACAGGTGCTATACAGGATATAAAAATTCTGCCCTTAAACAGTCTTGTTTTTTTTTTTTTTTCCAAGAGTCTATCCTCTAATTAGCAGAGACAGACATAACATTTCCAGTCTTTTAGCCTTTATTTATTTTTGGGGGTACTGGGGATCAGACTCAGGACCTTGCACTTGCGAGGCAGGCATGGCACCACTGAGCTAAATCTCCAGCCCTATTTATTTTGCACAGTCCTGGGGATCAAGCCCAGGAAACAATATATAAGAGTGCTATGAAAAAAATATGCCAGAGAAGTCAGAAATATGGAGACATGTTGGGTATTGTATTTTAAATGCCACGGTCAGGTGGCATCTTGGTACAGTCCAGGATGGTAACTCTGATCTTTGTTGATAAAGAGAATGCAGAACCAGATGCCCATGTGGCCCCTAAGAAGGGGCTTGAAGCTGGGGTCTGGGAGTGTTAAGGCTTTAGATGGGAGAACTCAGGTTTCAATTCCACATGTCAGCAAAATGTTCAGGGCTCCATCAGCCTTACCTAAAACTGCCAGAAAGGCTTTGGGAACTGTCAACAGAGCTACAGAAAAGTCAGTAAAGAGCAGTGGATCCCTAAAACAAAAAACCAACCTTCTCTGCCCAAAAGATGACTGAGAAGACTGTCAGAGTAAAAAGCTCTGTCTCTGACGACACCTATCTAGAAATAGAAAAATTCTTTCCCCTCAGTCCTCTAGATTTTGAGTTTCAACCTGCCTGAGGGGCACCAGATGGCACAGCTGCCCTTGAGCAGTGCCTCTCATGATACTCAGGGAGGAGCGAGGGCTGGAAAGGCTGCTGCAGCTGGGCCCCCCTCCACCTATGAAGACGCCTTCCCCATGGGGAGCTGGGCTGCAGTACCCTTCAAGCATACTTTCCATCCTGGATGTTGAATTCCCACCTGCTTGTTATGACACAGATATTTAAATTTCTTAGTGCTTTATAGTTTGTTTGTATAAATAAAGCATTTCTGTGTTTAAAAAATAATGGAATGGCCATGGCAGGCCTCTCTGGGAAGGCGAAGAATTGAAGAAGCAAACCTACAGGTGTATGAGAACAGACTACCCCAGGCAGAAGAACCAGTCGTCATGAAGACCCTTTGACTCTCCACATTTCAGGAATAAGGAAGACTACACAGGTGGACTTGGGACAAGAGGTCACACTGGAGGCAGGTCACAGGGCATGGTAGACCTGCAGCTGTTAAGTGGATGTAGAGGTTACAGTACACTAAGAAGTTACTGAAATAATCCAGCTGCGAGCCTGTGGTAGCTCAAATAGGATGGTGTTCAAGGTGGTGAAAAGTGTTCTGATTGTGGATACATTCTGAAGGTAAAATCACTAGGATTTCCCCACAGATCAGGTATGGAGTGAGAAAGAGGGGTCCCAGGTTTCTGCCTTGAGTAAATGCAAGCCTACAACGATAATAGGCAAAAGATAGGAGGATTAGCTTATGGACAAAGTCATGATTAGTTTTTGTTTGTTTTTTTGGTACCGGGGATTGAACTCAGGACCTTGGGATTGTAAGGCAGGTGCCGGAACCGCTGAGCTAAATCCCTGGCCCATGAATTTCAGTTTTGACTTGTTAAGTTTGGGATAAATAGCAGACTTCAAATTGGAGATGCCAAATTGGTACTTGAATATATAATGTGGGTTTCATGAAGAGATGAGGTCTGGATTATAAAGTTGAGAGTAGTCACCAAACAGATGCTATTTACACCATGAAACTTGACAGCAACAGAGAAGAGACTGGATCTAAGAAGAGAATCCTGAGGACTGAATCCTGTGGTCGTTTTTTTTTGGTATGGGGGATCAAACTCAGGACCTTGCGCTTGCGAGGCAGACGTGGAACCATTGAGCTAAATTCCCAGCCCATCCTGTGGTCGTTTTTTTTTTTGAGACAGGGTCTCGATGTGTAGTCCAGGTAGGCCTCGAACTCCTGGCGAGCCTCCTGACTCAGCCTCCTGAGTGCTAGGATTACAGCAGTCCCCAACCAAGCCCAGCCTCCTGTGGTATTTTATTAAGAGGCTAAGGACAAACGAAATGTGAGCAAAAGATATTGAGAGGTCAGATGACAGTGACACAGGTGTGTGATGTCGCAGAAACCAAACCGACGCTGTAGCCAAGAGGTTGCAGACAACTGAGCCCAACACTAACTTCTGGACAAAGAAGATGAGGTTGGCGGATGAAGCAACTTGGAGGTCAACGCTACCTCCCTAAAAATACTGAACGTCTTTCAATTCATCTCTGCCCCTCTCCGTCCCTGAAACAACACTGGTTTTTTTTTGTTTGTTTTGTTTTTTTAACAGAACAGTCTATTTGTCTTTCTCCTGGGCAAGACTTCAGGTCCTAAACCCAGGCACACGTCTATCTTGATTTTTGTACCGAAACCATCTAAACTCCCAGCACAGTGCGAAGGTATTCCATAAACACTAAACCAATGGACAAATGCTAGAATTTAGAGGAGCCAGCGCTCACTTCTGGTTGGCCTAACTTTGAGGCGCCTGAACCTTGGAGTGAACGTGAAGGGCTCTGGCCAGGGTCGGTCTCCCATTCATTCGATCACCTTTCCAAGAGTGTAAAGTGGACGGACCCCTTTTAAGTTTCAAGCGATTTTGGGGCTGGGCTTCTTTTAAGGAGCCGCCTAAACCCAACTCGCCGCCCCCTCACTTGCCCCTGGCCCCGACGCTCACCCAGCCGCGTGGCGCGCTCCCGCGGCCTGGCGGGCCGGCCCCCACTCCCGTGCTCCGCCTCGAGCTCCTCCTGTTGTTGCCGGGCTTGCTGCAGAATCCGCCGGCTCAGCCGGGGCCCCACGTATTCTTCCTCCTCTTCGGTTCCGCGACCCCGTCGCTTTTCCCGGACCCCTGCCCGCACCGCGTCTCCAGCTAGGATCTGCTCCTCCAGAGGTGCATGCTTTTCTTGATTCCCGGCCCCACGGGCCGTCTTAAACTTGGGCATTTTCCTCCAAAAAGTCGCTGAGAAGGTACACACGTGGGGACACCGACAAGCCTTGAGTTCGCTAGCGCAGTGAATTCCCTGCGCCCAAGAGGTTACCCAGAGATAAAAGCGCCCCCAGCGTTCGGAGGTCGAAAACGCTACCAGCGCCGCCCCACCTCTCAAAGATCTGCGGGTCTTGGAACGGGACTCCGGGACTCTCAGATAAATTTCATTGCCTTTAACTTTGGCTTCTTTAAGTGGTGGAATTCCGAGTCGCTCTTTCCAAGCCTCGTGAAGCTAAGCTTAGGCGCTCAGCTAAATGGCAATTCCCCGAGCTGCCAACCCGGGGGCGGGGCCGGGACGATGGCGTCACTAGATGTGTCATCGAAGGAGCGTCGCAACACGCCCCGTTTCCTGTGCGCTCGCATCCGGCGCTCTGTTTTGACGTATTTCCAGAGCGCCGGCTGCGCCCGCCTTCGGCGTTGGGGGGGACTTCAGTTCTTGCGGACGGCGGGCGAGTTCTGTGTTCCACTGTCTGGTAGTGCCACCCTCGATCCTGACGCCATGGGAGTGACTTGGTAGGGCTGCAAGGGCTTTTGTAGCGCAGGGCTTGGAGTGGTGGAGGGTCTTTGGAGCCTGGAGTGGCCCAAAGTGGAGGTTTGGGACGGAGGTCTGCCTTCCCCCAGGAGCTGAGCGAGATGTTCTCGGGTTGCATGGATAAGAGGTCCCTGTGAGGACCGCGGGCTCTCCCCTTTTTTTCTAGGAGATGCGCCCCTTCCTTTTAGAAGGAGGCAGGGTAGGAATTCTATCCAAGGACCCAATCATTGCTTAGTGTCTCTCTTTTTTTTTTGTTGTTGTTGTTGTTACATCTTCCTGCCCGTGAGGCCGTATAGTACTGTCAGAAGTGGGACTTGAGAATATAGGATCTCCAGACCAGGACACTCGTGCAGACAGAGCCAGAGAGCGCGAGGGAAGGGGAACGACGAGATGTACATAAAATGTGTTACAGGCATGCGCCACCACACCTGGCTTCCCTTTTTTCTTATATGACTCAGAGTTATTGAGTGCTCAGTCTGTGTACCACCTGGAATCTTCACTTGAACGTTGGCACACATGCCATGGCTAGAAGGTGCTGGTGTGGTAGGAAGTTCATTGCCTTGGTGAGAGAGTCCTGAGATCTGTGCTTTGGTTCTCAGAGGAGCTCCCAGGGACTAAGTCTCTATTTCCTTGTCCTTAAGGAGCAGGATCAAGTTACATGTCCCTGCTGAGCCATCATACAGGGTGAGAGCAAGTGGCTCAGTCAGTGCACGTGTCTCTGGACACCCATGACCTGGTACTTTCCTTTCCAGTGTGTCCCAGATGCCTGTGGCTGAGGGCAAGAGTGTCCAGCAGACGGTAGAGCTCCTCACCCGGAAACTGGAGATGCTGGGGGCAGAGAAGCAGGGAACGTTCTGTGTAGACTGTGAGACTTACCATACAGCTGCCTCCACTCTGGGCAGCCAAGGTCAGTGAGGTGGGGCTGTGGGGTGGCTAACCGTGGCATGGCCTTTGCGGACATTCATGTCCATTGACATCTGTCCTTTCTGCTAAGGGTGGTGTTCTTGAACATGTGGCCGGATGGGTTTCTGAATTCAGTATTTCTTAGTCCTTCATCTCTTAGACCGGGGCTATTGTGGTCTTTCTGCAACTGGAACTTGTTTTTAAAGCTTTATTAAGTCCTAATTAAGGTGTAAACAATTGCACACATTTAATGCATACATCTTGATGAGTAGGCTCTACGCATCATATGACATAGGGACAGATCTATGACGCCATCACCAGAACCCAAATAATAAACCCATCGCCTGAGAAAAGTTCTGCAAGGGCCAGGGATGTAGCTCAGTGGTGCTGCACATGCCTGGCAAGCACAAGGTCCTGAGTTCAATCCCCAGTACCAAAAAAAAAAAAAAGTTCTGCAAATTTTCTTTTGTGCAGTTTGAACTCTTTTTAAGTTAAAAAATTCATAAACATACATTTATTCAGGAAATACAACTACTAGAGTTCTTAGTATTTCAGTATCATTCCACATTATAAAATATTTACAACATGGATTTTTTTGGTACCGGGGATCGAACTCAGGTCCTTGCACTTGCGCAGCAGGCGGCAAAACCACTGAGCTAAATCTCCGGCCCAACAATATGGATTCTTGAAGTCTGTACCACATCATGCTGAGATTCTTTCCAGATAAGCCATAGTATATCATCTATGAAATGCTATAATGTCTATTTGAATTGTAAATAAAGTACTTGAGCCAAACTACTTAAGTATTGGAGCAAAAATTCCTAAAACATTTAGAAGAGGATTGCAATGATTTTTTCAAAAACATGTCTGAATCATCAAACTGTAAAAAGCAATGCCACCATCACCTAAAATTGTAGTGATGGATCAAGTGGCCATATTAAGACAGACATCAATATCAACCACAATGTATCTCATCTGCAATGGCTAAACATGGTTTTTTAAATAATAAACTTTGTTTTTGTAAATTTTAAAGGCAAAGGGAACAGAAAGATGAAACATCAAAAATTAGTATTTAAGCTATCAGTAGATTTTAGTTTTCTAAAAAAAGATGGACTTATTTTTCAAATAAGGATCACCAATTACCTTTTCTTCCTAAAGAAATTTAGAAATACAACCAATCATTAAGTAGCTGCAAATTGAATGATCCTATGATCCTATTTTGAGTCTTGTAAACATAGTCCAGTGTAATGAGATCATTTCATAAAAGAACTAGTGGCCCTGGATGTCCACGAGAACTGTCTGGAATAATTTTTACTCAGACCTGAAGACTTCAGTTACCTTTTTTTTGCCTGTACTGGGGATCAAACTCGGGACCTTGTACTTCCCAGGCAGGTGCGATGCCACTGAGCCAAATCCCCAGCCCCTGCAATGATTTTTAAAACGGAGTGAGTCTAATTGAGCTGTTACGGGAGGAGACCCAAGAATGAAAATGTTTTTAGCTCTGCAGGGCATTGTAATATGCAGCTAGGCTCAGAACCACCGAGTCAACTCATTCTGAAATAAAGAAATACTTGGGAAACTGGAGAAGGAGGGTTAGTTTATACTCATAATTTATAAATCAGACACCTATCTATTTACTGTGTGCCTAGTTTTATTTATGAACTATCCATCCATAAGATGAGAATCCCTTCACTTCCTCTTATACCAGACCACTATTATACAGCTTTGTACTGACTGGATTTTCCTGTTGTCAAGACTTCAGTTCAGAGTTGCACTATGAGGACTGCATTCTCGAAATCCAAACAGCTGATGCTGCTCATCCTCAACACGACTAAGCAAAACTACTGCACTTGGCTTCTTTTGGTTATCCTTATTTTAAGAATTATAAATAGGTGCCAACCCACACAGAGAACACAGTACTGTGGATTACTGTGGGAAAAAAATAACTTACTCAACTCACTAAGTTTCAACACTGAAAAGATTGAACTTAGCCGAAAGTTCTAAAGCAACTGAGACATTGAACCAGGAAGCTATAATTTTTTTTTTTCTTTCTTCAGTACCAGGGATCGAACTCTGGTCCTTCTGCTTTCGAGGCAGATGGTGGAACCATTGAGCTAAATCCCCGGCCCCTAACCAAGAAGTTATAATTTATAATGAAATGTTGCTGTGTCCTTAAAAGCTACTGTAGTTGTACATGACTAAAGTAAAACTTCTTGGCTAAACTTCCCCTGGAATGCAAGAACACCAGCATAATAATAATGTTACAGTTTTTATATGCACTGATACCTCTCTTTAAAGCTCTACAACAAATATCTCTATTAATTTTATAATTAAGTCCGTAATTCTTTTTTTTTTTGGTATCGGGGATCGAATTCGGGTCCTTGTGCTTGTGCAGCAGGCAGTGAAACCACTGAGCTAAATCCTCGGCCCAGTCCGTAATTCTTCTATACTACTTTGGTCTCAACAATTGAAAAGCACATCAATTAATTTTGGAGATATACAATTGAACGATATGATCCTATTAACAACAAGCACATTTCAAAGTGGACTAAAGACACATTCATATAATCAATCCAGTGTTCGGTAACTAAATGATAAATAATAATGCTTTTATTCCAAAAAATCACTGAAAACTGGAATATTCTTTTAAGACTCAGTGCTCACAAACATGCAGAAAAAGGTATACATTTCTATTCTTCCTGAAGGAATGTTACAGAATGCCTACTTTGTTTTTTTTTTTTAACAGGATGTGTAATTTTGCCAAATTCTGGTTTTTTTGGTACCAGGGATTGAACTCAGGACCTCATGCTTGCCAGGCAAGTGGTGTACTGCTGAGCTAAATTCCATCTTTTTAGCATCTGTCACCTAACCTGTTTTAAAGTGCAGTTATTCCTGTCAGTTGTGACTGGAGATGAACTTTAACTCTTTCATTTCAGTTCCTGTGCAGACCTCAGTCACAACCATACCCTAGCAGCTGCTTTTAGTAAAACAGTGACATCTGGTGGACAAAAGGCAGAAAGTATCTTGGGAGTCCATCTCTGGATTAGTCATAGACAAGTCTATATTGCTAAATCCAACACATTTGTCAGTCTGCAAATTTTAACATTCCTCACACTTTCTACACATCTTTTTTTTTTTTTTTGGTACCTGGGATCGAACTTGGGTTCTTGCGCTTGTGCAGCAGGGGGCGAAACCACTGAGGTAAATCCCTGGTCCTCTTTCTACACATCTTAATCTTACCCTCTTCTTCCTACTTAAAATCAGTTCTTTCTGAGCTCATAAGGATGCAGAACCCGATGCTGGAGAGGTTTAAGGTGTCACCATTTTTTCTTTGACTATGCTCTTTCTTACCACAAAGTAACTGACCCACATCCAGGCATGGAGGAACCAAACTCGAGACACATCTAAAGAACAACGACTAGCATCGGAAAAATTTGCACAAGATGAAATCTGCAACTGTTTTGTATTTTTAATTTATGATTTTTTTTTTTTTTTGGTACCGGCAATTGAACTCGCGTCCTTGCGCTTGCACAGCAGGCGGCGAAACCACTGAGCTAAATCCCTGGCCCCCTATGATTTATTTTTTAATATAAATAGGGACATCATCAGGAATGCTAATAATCGAATCTCATCCTCTTGCTTTATTGCTCAATTATGAAAGAATACCTATTTTAGCAATGGTTGCTTCAGTGTTTAAAAACTTACTCTTATAAATCAGTATAAATGAACTTCATTACACATTACACTTTTTTTTTTTTTGAGACAAGGTCTTGCTATGTAGTTCAGGGAGGCCTTAATCTCATGGTGATCGATCCTCCTGCCAGCCTCCTGAGTGCTGGGATTTCAGGCACGCGCCACTCACGGTACCTGGCTACACCTTATGTTTAAATAAAAGTAAAAAGACCCGCGCCGGGGATTTAGCTCAGTGGTTCCGGTGCTGGCCTCGCAAGCGCAGGGTCCCGAGTTCGATCCCTGGTACCAAAAAAAAAAAGTAAGAAGACTCTACTATGCTGAGTTCTGTTCTTCTGTGGGTCATATATATTATGTGTGTATTCAAAGTACAAAAAAGCAATAGTGATGTTAACATTAATGGTGTAACAAACCACTGTCGATGAGACTATCAGGTGTAATTTCTTGGAAAACTGTAAAGAAATTTCACAGGTTAAAAATACAGAGTAAGCAAAAAAAAAAAAAGAGTTGGAGAACTGTTAAGTAGTCAAGTGAGAACATTTTTCTTTTAAAAAAATTAATAATGTTAAAGTACATCTTAATATTAAAGCAAAGCATTTTTTAAAATCTATAACAACTTTTTTTTTCTTTTTGGTACCGGGGATTGAACTTGGGTCCTTGTGCCTGCGCAGCAGGTGACGAAACCACTGAGCTAAATCCCCAGCCCCTATAAAAACTTTTTGACAAAAATCTGTATTTGAAAAAGGCCTATAAAAACAGCAGGACAGAATTGTCCTTGTCACCTTTGACTTGTTCTTCTCACAAAAAAATATATGCATCTGTGGAAAGTCTGGAACCACACGTGATGTGAAAATAGGCATTAATAAAATGGCACGGAAGATTTCTCAGGAAGTTTCTGTTTGCTTTTTATGATCACTGGATCACGGTTGTCAGTAGGTCACAAGTAAAACTCCTCCAGCTGCAGAGGCAAATGCCGGTTGCGAGTCCACTAGGTCTGTTGCCTGTGCTTTGCCGACCGCATCTTTTCAAAGAGTGACTCCATCTCTGAGACCCTGCTTCACCCTCCCCAGGGCGGGTTTCAGCAGCACCATGGCCTTTTTGTGATGCTCTTTTTTTGACACTCGCTCCATTAACAGAAAGGAGTTGTCTCCTTGTATGAGGCCCCACTGTCTGTCAGCAATCCCGCCTGGAATTATTCGAGATATGTAGATTGGAGAATCCTATTCCTTGGTGCCCCACCCCCCCATGATATTGAGCCTGAGGCCTTCGTCCATCTTCTGCAGTTCCACGACTCGAGGATGAGAATGCCCCTCACTGGCCGCAATGGCAGCCACAATGGCCTTTGCGGTTGCATTAGCTCTTCAGGAATGTTACTCCTGTCCACTGTCTCATGGACATGTTCATATACCTCTCTTACAGTGTTGCAGAACTTGCTCTGGAGGACTCTGCAACGCCCAAGCTTCTGCAGCGGCACCTCCCCACTCTGATGCAGTTTCTCCAGCAGCTCAGTCACTCTACAGATATTCCTCTCCAGCTCTGCAGGTCCCCCAGCACCACCATCTTCTCCCTCCTCGACAGAGGCCCCCAGAACCAGTTTAACTCTTAAAGCAGTATTTGCTGGGCATGGTGGTGCATGCCTCTTATCCCAGCACTTGGGAAGCTGAGACCAGCCTCAACTACATAGTGAGACCCTGTCTCAGAAAGAAAAACCAAAACAGTGGTTTTCAAAGAATTTTTTGCTGAAAAACTGCACCAAAAACCTAGGTTCAAAAAAAAACCCCAAAAAAACCACCTAGGTTCCTTCTTAAAGGTGCATGTTTCTGCCCGTTTACCAGTGGACTCCAGATCTCATAATCTACACTTAAACTCTCCAGATAATCCTTACATGCTCTGAAGTTTGAAGACTTGATTTAGGCTCTCAGTTTGTTGTTTGTTTTTTACTTTTTGAGACAGTGTCTTGTCATGTAGGTCAGGCTGGCCTTGAATTTACAGATTAGCACTAGCTGGCCTCAAACTTGGAGCAGTCCTCCTGTCTCAGCTTCCTAAGAGCTGGGATTACAGGTGTGCACTACCATGCTTGTTTCAGGCCCAAGAATCTTTGTGTGTGATTCTTTGAGCTGTAGAGTCTGTAGATCTTCTATGTAAAGACTTCCTGTTAACCACATCTGGCCAGTGTTTTTGGCACCTTGACTGATGCTTTTGTTTTCAGGCTGTTGAGTGATGAGAAGGGTGTTGATGGTGGCTGTGATGACAAAAGGGGAGGACGATCTTTGCATATGAGTTAGGGAAGCTGGTTCTCTTAGCCTTGGTTCTGCAGTAACAGCCTGGGACAGTTTCATGACACAGATGCTCTGTTCATGGAGGCAGATTCCTATGTCCTGGCCTCCCGAATACTGATTGCAGTGGTGGGCAAGTCCCAGCACCCGTGTGTGGCTGTTTCCTTTTGATCCATTTCCTGCACTTACGCTGCAGACACCATTCTCAGGCCCTTCTAGCTCCTTTTGGTCCCTTTGGTCAGTGAGAGGCACCAGGGAAGATTGGTGCACAGGAGGAGAGGGAGTCACTACATTCCTGTCCCTCTGCTTTGGGCAGTGCCACTGGCCAGGCTGTTTCTCCTCCTTGGTTCTGGCTCCTGCTCGGTAGCCCTTATTCCTGGCTCTTTTCTTTCTCATTCCAGCCCTAAAGGTGGGGCAGTTTCCTGTGTTGCTAATCTTTGGGTTACCTCGTCATCCTGTTGGGCTTTTCCATTCTTCCAACCCTGTCCTTGTTCTCTATATACATTGCTTCTGTTGAAATTCTCTGGCATGGGCTCTGTTTTTGGACTCTTCTCAATATCATTTTCCTATCTATGAAATGGGGTGAACTGTGGCTTTGAAATAACCTAGTGTTGTGCTAATTGCGTGGAAATCACATGCTAATTATGTACAATACATGCAGAACCCTTAGAAGGGAGGCATCGTGCAGTATTTAATAGACAATGCTTTTTTTTTTTTTTTTTGGTATCGGGGATCGAATTTGGGTCCTTGTGCTTCCTGGGCAGGCGGTGGAACCACTGAGCTAAATCCCCGGCCCAATGCAGTATTTAATAAATGGCAGTGCAGAGCTGTGCTGCATTTTCTGTGATAACATTGCAGTGTTCCCTTTGATGGGAAGGATGACACCGTCAAGAGATAATGACAAGGGCCCGGGATTTAGCTCAGTGGTTCTGCTGCCTGACTCAAAAGCGCAAGGTCCCAAGTTCAATCCCTGGTACCAGAAAAAAAAAAAGAGATAATGATGAGAGCAACTTAGGAAAGAAAACACTTCAGAAACTACAGTCTGGTAGGGAGACAACACATTCACGGCACGCAATGGGGCAAAGGGAAAGAGAATGAACATGGAGTCCCCGGATGTGCTGCCTACATGCTGTGTGGATGTGATTCAGTTCCTCACAGCAGCCACACTGGCATCACCAGGAGGGGTCCCTAAGGTGCATGTCGCCGGAGTTAGGCCCAGGTTTCTGACTGGAGGGGCAGAGGGGCATCTGGGATCTGAAGGTCTGGTCTCCAACCCCTGCTTCTTCCAGTCTCTGAGAAAGGGGTCCTCTCACTCATTTCTACAGGTTCTCTCCAAGAAGGAGGAAAAGGTCCGTATGTATCTGATTCAATAGAGAAAGGAAGAAGGCAAAAAATGGAAAGCAAGTTTCCCGTACAGCTGCCCTGACTCCAGGTGTTTTGTAATAAGTTCCTGCTGCTGTGGGACTTGGCCTTCGTTGTCCTCATCAGTGAAAGGGGGATGGTAATGCTGGTTTTGCTTCACCTGGTGTGCAGATAAGAAAGAGCTTTATTGTGACTTTTCTGTTTTGTGGTTTTTTGAGACAGAGTCTTCTGTGTAGTTCAGACTGGCCCTTGAACTCACTGTGGAGCCCAGGCTTGCCTCGCACTTGGCAGCGATCCTCCTGCCTCAGCCTCCCTAATGTTGGACTTACAGGCCTGCAACACTATCCCTGGCTGTTGTGATTAGAAAAAAATATCTCAAAATTGGAAGTGTCTTATTCATTGAAAAAGTCACCTTAGTTGCTTTTAAAATAGTTCCAGGACCATAACACCACTTGCAGACCCACACAGTGTGGATTAAGCATGTGATTACAGGAAGTGACCTGAGGACAAAATGACAAATCAGTTTGAGGGACTTGCGTGTGTGTGTGTGTGTGTGTGTGTGTGTGTGTGTGTGTGTGTGTGTACTGGGGATCAAACTTGGGACCTTGTGCTTGCAAGGCAGGTGGCGGAACCATTGAGCTATGCACTTGCACAGCAGGGGGCACAACCACTGAGCTAAATCCCTGGCCCCTGACGGACTTTTTTTAAGGATTGTTTTGAACTGGTTCCAGAGCAGGGAAAGGCTGTGGGCTGGCAGCTGGTAGGCAGGAGAGATGGGCTGCAGGCTGTCTGCAGAGCCTGCTGCATTCAGGAGGTGGCAGCAGAGCTGAGGTCTCAGTCCAGGGAATTCCCACGGCCCCTACTGGGGCCCAGGCCTGCTGTCCTCTCCCCTTTCCCTTGCCACCATCTTCTCTCTGCCCAGAGTGTTGTCCTGCTCCATGTGGCCAAATCCTTCCTCTCTTAGCATCTCCCTTCAAGGGCTTTTTCCCTGCTGCCTTTGCCCACTTTAGTCTCCTCCTATCCTACAGTCTTTCTTGCCTTTCAGAAGACTTCAAGTCTTCCCCAGCTGATCACTTGTTTTATTTTGTGGTGTTTTGATCTTTCCGAATGTTTTTCACTGCTCTCCCTCATGAGATTGTCAGGTTTTTAAGTCTGGGGGCCAAGTTCTCTCCTGGGATGTTTTTGAAGCCTAGCACAGCGTTGGGAGGTTTAATAATGTACTGATCACTTGGGATGCGGCAGTCTGTTCATTACTGCTTGTATTTATAACATAAATCTTGCTTTCTACTTTTTACCTTCTTTCTTTTTGGAACCAAATGCATATAGCCTTCCTTTCTTCTTGTAGAAAACCCGTGGGAAGGAATGAATGAATGAAACTCCTTTCTCAGAGACTGGAAAGGCTGAGCTGCAGCTTGGAACTGGTCTTCCTAGCTCAGATCTTCAGTTCTCTTTTTTTTTTTGGTACCAGGAATCAAATTTGGGTCCTTGCGCTTGCAAGGCAGGCTGCGGAACCACTGAGCTAAATCCCTGGCTCTAGATCTTCAGTTCTCTCTGCTGTTGTGTGCTGCTTGTTTCCCAAGTCCACTGGACTTGTTAAAATACTCCAGCACCGCCCCCTGCCCCCCACCTTTGGATGAGGCCCCAACTTCCAGAGGGCTAGCACACCAGACTTAACACAAGTTGGCACAGCCTGGCTTTCCAGCTTCATGCTCACATTCTCCACTTTCCTGCTGCTCCAGGACTTTTTCTTAGATGTCTAAGCGGAAGAGCTCAAGGTAGGAAGGGATTGAAGTGACAGCTGCCTCACTGACCTGCCCAAATGCTATTATTTTACTTATCAGATCACATATGATAATATACACAAATGTGTGCTAGCAGTCATCAGAATTAAGCGTCCGTCTGCAAGCTCACCACATAGCTTGACAGTGAAGCAGTCATCAACCTTCTCAGTTCCAGGTATGCCCCCACCCCTGCTTCTCCCCACCGTCCCCGGAAAAGGCCACCGATTGCAGGATCCCTCCCTCCCTCCCTCTCAGACTGCCAAGGTGGCGCAGTTTGCCATCTGGCCGTGTTTCCCTGCTGTGACTGTGTGGGTGTGCCAGCGACAGTCCTGTGCAGTATAGGCTCTATCCCCGCAGGTCAGGCTGGGAAGCTGATGTATGTGATGCACAATTCCGAGTACCCACTGAGCTGCTTCGCCCTCTTTGAGAATGGCCCATGCCTCACCGCTGACACCAACTTCGATGTGCTCATGGTGAAGCTCAAGGGTTTCTTCCAGAGCGCCAAGGCCAGCAAGATCGAGACTCGGGGCACCCGCTACCAGTACTGTGACTTCCTGGTGAAGGTGGGCACAGTCACAATGGGGCCCAGTGCTCGGGGCATCTCCGTGGAGGTAAGACCTTGGGGAGCCAGAACGGGGTATGCAGGGGGTGGCTCAGCAAAGGCTCTGAAGATCTGCTAGTCCTAACCGGGGGTGTGATGGCCCAGTATTCCCTCCACTGAGTGAGGCTGAGGCAGGAGGCTCCAAAGTTTGAATCCCATCTGGGCTATTTTATTGAGACCCTGACTCAAAAGAAGGGGTGGGGGTTGGGGATGGAGCTCAGCAGTGCAGCACCCCTGGTTCTATTCCCAGTATCACAGAAAGATCCAAAAAAGCTCACCAGTCCTGCTCAGTTCAGACTGGCCTGGATGGATGCCTACCTGGTCCCTGGCTTCCAAGCACCTGTGCTTCCTTTGCAGGATTTTTTGTCCTTTAGCCTTTCATTTAATCTCCAGCCCAGGATGGGAAGAGGAAGTGGCTCATACCAAGTAGAACGTGCAGGAGGCCTGGCTCGCTGGAGAAGGGAAGGGTAGCTAGGGAGGGAGAAGAGTTACAATGTGGGGGACCAGCCACCCCTTCAGAGGAGGACTCTAGAGGTTCGCTGTCTGTCGCATGTGTCCACACACCCTCTGTCGTATGCTTAGGCTGGGAAGCAGAAATGTGCCTTGCCTCTTGGTGTACCATCTGCTTTCTCATGTGTGAGAGGCAGAGGAGAGTGGCAGTAGCTGGTTTTGGGTTCTGAAAGTCCACACCTTGCTACATGCCCGGCACTGTTCAAACGTTACAAAAGTAATCGTACAAACCCTGTCTTTCAAAAAATCATCATTTAGCACAAGATCAAGGCTGAAAGACACAAGCAATTTCTGTTTTTCCAGTACCAGGGATTGAACTCTCAGGGCTTTCACACTGAGCTACATCTTCAGCCACTTTAACTTTTTTTTTTTTTGGTACTGGGGATCGAACTCGGATCCTTCCGCTTTCGAGGCAGGCAGCAGAACCACTGAGCTAAATCCCCAGCCCAGCCACTTTAACTTTTTAGTTTGAGGCAGGGTCTCACTAATTACTAAATTGCCGAAGCTGGGCTTGAACTTATGATCCTCCTGCCTCTGCTTCCTTTTGTGCCAGGATGGCACGCGTGCACCACCGTGCCTAGCTCCACACAGTTTTTGAAGTTGTTCTAAGAAACACCATAAAAGAGGCACAATGGCTCTGGGAATTCAGGCAGTTGAGAGCCCTGCCAACTGTGGTTGGAAGGCTTCAGTGTTAGGGCCTTAGAACATAAAGACTGCAGAAGGTGAGTGGAAGGAGCCAGAAGGGAGGAGTTTCTGCTCTGAACCCTCAGGACCAAGGTTTCCTTACCTGGCCCAGCCCCTGGGATTCCCCATCATCCTCCATGTTTCCAGCTGGGCAGTAATGGACACACTGCTGTTTCTTCCTTGTTTTCTTCTGGCTGCTCTCCTGTGAAAAAGTAAGAGAGAGGATGAGAAAACCTAAGATGTATGTCGTTTGGCCTTCCTACATTGGCTGGGAAACTCATTCTTAGTGTCAGAGCCAAGTCTGGGTATACCTCAAGTGTCATGTTTGGCCTTAGAGACATAGGAGTCCTACCCCCATGTTTATTTTTCTTCCTTCCTCCCCTTCCCCTTCCTCCTATGGTTTCCCTTCTCCTTCCCCTTCTCTTTTCCTTGCTTTTCTTCCCTTTTTTTTCTCTTAGTTTCCTGAGCTCTCCTTGAATGTCACCCAGGGACCTGGGATCTGCCTCAGGCTGTGAGCAGGCCCACCCAGCTGCAGGAGGAGAATATTAGAGACACCAGTGAGAAGGCTTTGGGTGTGTCAGTTGAGCACTTCCGCTGGAGCAACATTGTGCTAGAAGGGGTGTCTTTTTTTAATTTTTTCTTTGTGAGACAGAGTCTCTCTGTGTCCTACAGGCTGGCCTTGAACTCACTGTGTAGCTCAGGCTGGCCATTAAGACTGGGCCAATCCTCTTGCCTCAGCCTCAGGAATGCAGGGGTTATATGCTTCACCACTATGCCTGGCTCCTAAGAGGGGTGTCTGGCTCTGGCCCAGAGAAGGTGGCAGGAGGTGGAGGAGAAGCAGCCCTTGTCCTTGTCCTCCTCACTTCCCATGCTGTCCCCTTGGCCCCAGGTGGAGTACGGCCCCTGTGTGGTGGCTAGTGACTGCTGGAGCCTGCTGCTGGAGTTCCTGCAGAGCTTTCTGGGCAGCCACACACCGGGGGCTCCTACGGTGTTTGGGAACAGACACGACGCCGTCTATGGCCCAGCAGACACCATGGTCCAGTACATGGAGCTCTTCAACAAGATCCGAAAGCAGCAGCAGGTGCCAGTGGCTGGGATTCGGTAGTGGCTGGCAGATGCCAGCTGGACCACACCAGGGCCCTGCACAGGAGGAGCTGGGGCTGCACCTCAAGGCCCTGGACCCCAGGACCAGAGAAACATGGGTTTCCTCTTCCTCTGCTCCCCAGCTTGGCTGTGTTCCGGGCTCTGCACCCCTTTCCTTGCCCTTGGCCCTCCCCCTAGGCCTCCAGTAGCTGCTGTACGGGATTTGGCCTGTCCTGAAGAACAGGAATTAGGAAGCATGGAGACCTTGGACTTCTGCTGCTTTAGGGGAAAGGTAGAACAGGGCTTCCCTGCCTAGCTTCCGAGGAGAATAGTGTGTACCCCAGCAGTGAGGGTTCAGTCTGGGCCCAGGGGCTGTCCTGTGCTCCGCTCCCCTCTGCATGTGGGCTGTGCTATGCTGAGCCCCTCCTGGAGGCAGATGGTGGTACAGCTGACAGGGTGGCTCTGGGTTTGTGACCTGTTGGCCATAGTGGTTTGGGGGAACTGACTTTGGTTGTGGATTATGTGAAGCCACAAGCTAAATTATTGTAACGGAATCAAAAGGACATGGCCTCTCACTAGACAGAAGTTTAGCTTCCCTTGTTGACAGTGCCGAGGTCAGCAAGAGGCCAAGGTAGATTTAATTTCACAAGGTCATCCAGCACTTGGTTTCCTTATTCTTTTTTTTTGGTACTGGTATTGAACTCAGGACCTTGTGCTTTCGGGGCAGGTGCAGTGCCACTGAGCTAAATCCCAGCGGTTTCCTTATTCTTGTTCAACCACCCCAGTGTGTTATCCTACTACCCACAAGGCCAGAGCAGACTTACAAGCTCCATATCCACATTCTACTGGGGAAACAAAAGCTCACTCTCTCTCCCCTCTCCTCCTTTCTCTTGGGCTAGAGATTGAACCCAGGGCCTTTCCATTGAGCTACATCCCCATCCCTTTTTAGAATTCTTTGAGACATGGTCTTGCTAAACTGCTGAGTTGCCCAGGCTGTGTTTGAGATTATGACCCTCATTTCTCAGCCTCCCAGAGTGCTGGGATTTCAGGTGCTTCAAGCTAGGATTTCTTTTTTTTTTTTCCTCCGGGACCAGGAATTGAACTCAGGACCTTGTACTTGCCAGGCAGGTGCAGCACCACTGAGTTACATCCTTGGCCCCAACTAGCATTTTTTTTTTTTTTTTTGAGACAGTGTCTCACTATGTAGTTCAGGGTGGCCTCAAACTCACTTCGATCCTACTGCCTCAGCCTCCTGAGTGCTGGGATCACAGGCATGCACCACCATACCCATCTAGCATGTTTTTTTAAAGGCTATATGAATTGTGACCACTTTGCTGAAAGGGATATCAGGATGTAGTGTCCCTGGTCTTGGCAGCCATGTGCCCTGTTAAATTTGAGGGTGCTGTGATTAAAAGATGAAGGAGAAGCTGGGTGTGGTGGGGCAGGCCTATAATCCCAGCACTGGGGAGGCTGAGGCAGGAGGATAGCGATGAGGTCGAGGCCAGCCTGTAGTACATAGACCTTGTCACAACAACAACAAAAAAGGTGAAGTTGACTCGGGGAGCTGAGGCCCAGTGAGTGACCTGCTCCGAGGAACTCAAAAGACACACCCAGGAATGCACTTGGCAGCAGTTTTGCAGTTTTGTTTATGAGCTGGGCTGGGATAAGGACGGAGCGCAGAGCCACTGTGAGCTTAGTGGGATTAGTCACAGTGGGCACTCCATTCTGCACCCGGGGCCTAAGCTCTCTGCAGCCCTCCAAGCTTGGGAGAGTGGCTGAGCCTGATCCCTGCACCAGGATTTGTGGTTTCCTGGGTTCTTTCTCCCGGTCTCATTTGAGCCTCCAAGTGGCTCCTTTGACCTCTGCTGCTCGCCCCCCTCTCTCCTGCTACAAAAATGTTCAGCCAGACTTACATTTGAGATACAAAGAAGTGGTCTTAGGAAATCTTTTTTGTGGGTGGGGGATTGTTTCTCTTAAACAATACTGGGAATTGAGCCCCAGCACTTTTGTATTTTCAGGCAGAACCTTGCTAAGTTGCCCAGGCTGGGCTCCAACTGTGCCATCTTCCTGCTTCAGCCTCCCAGAGGGCTGGAATTAAAATCATGTACTACCACACCCAGTGGAAAATTGTTAATGTACACAGTATAGGTCATCATGGATAAAATTGCTCCTTGAAGGCATCTAAAGAGAAATTGTTTTCAGGGCACATTCCTGCAGCAAGAATCAGGTACTAGTAGTGGTTCCCTCCAGCTTTGGCAGGAAGCCCAATTCACCTTTCTGTTTACAAGATCTGTTATCTGCAGTTTTTGTCCATCCTCCCCTGTTTTTGTTATTTATTTTGTCTTTGCTTTTTAAATCTTGAGGTCTGTTTTAGATGTCATTTGTACACAATAAAATGTGCCGGTTTTATGTTTTTGGCCTTCTAATTTATATTTGCTCTTGTCCAGGTCTATTTGTTCTTACAGAACACATAATTTATAGGATTTTTTCTTTTTTTGTTATCAAGGATCAAACTCGGGACCTTGCGCTTGCAAGGCAGGCACCGGAACCACTGAGCTAAATCCCCAGCCCCTATTTGTTCTTTACTTAGGTAGCCTCAAGTCTTTTATAGAACAAGACACTATGTAGGTGCGATTTTGTAAGTAATATGTTCCTACAAACTAAACGTGGGAAGAAAGACGCTTGTCTTGTTGGAAGAAGGGGGTGGTTCCCTGAAGCTGAAAAATAAAGTGTAAAACCCTTTACACTTTGCTTTTTAGCCATAGTCTTTATACATATCCGGCCTTTTAAAATTTTTGTTCTTTTGTGTTTGAACATGTATTCGTTTTTTGTTTTGTTTTCTGTTTTTTTTGTTTTTTTTGGTACCAGGGATTGAACTTGGGTCCTTGCGCTCCCACAGCAGGCAACGAAACCACTGAGCTAAATGCCTGGCTCTGTTTTCTGTTTTTGAGACAGGGTCTCACTATGTAGCCCAGGTTGGCCTCTAACTTGCTGCAATCTTCCTGCCTCAGCCTCCCAAGTGCTGGGATTACAGGCGTGCCTGGCTCTTGAGCACATATTTGGTCAGCTTTAAATCCAGTGAATGGTAGATTGTTTGAAATACCACATGGGCACTTTTGTCCATCTTAATCTTTTGTGTCAGTTAAAGGAAATTACTGAAAGACATAGTGATGTGTTCGATCTCTTCCTTATCGCAGCAAATGTGGTTCTACCACTGTGATTGCCAGATGAACTCGTGACTGGTGGGAAGGGCCAGATGCCACCTGTTGTGTGAAAGTCTGGATAGAGCTTTCACGAGTAGTTCAGGGGACAGTTGTCAGTAATTTCTGAAAGTTTAGAATGAATGAAATATGGGTGCTATTTGTTAAATTTAAGGGGGAAAAGGCATGGTTTGCCCATTTTATAAATAAAAAAGTCTTACACTGAGTAAATGGAGAAGCCATATTTTTTGGTTCAAATCTGGTGTCCCTCCTTTCCATATCCTTCCACTGCTCCATCTGCTGCTTACAGGTGCTCCAGTCCCTCCCCATCCACAACCCTCAAGAGCAGGACTGGAAACTTCTGTCCACACGTCACATGGGTGGGGTCTTTTGCCAGCTTTGACTGTCAGCCGAGCAGGCAGCTTGGAGCTCCTCTGGTTCTCTGCCCTGACGGGGAGAGGCTGGACTCTCAGAGGCCTCAAATGAGGTGAGGGTGGAATCTGAGCAAACTTCGGCTCAGGACTCCTAGCTGCCAGAGGGGTCTCAGTGTGGCACCTAGACCTCGCTGGGACACTAGGTAATGTTAGGTGGAATGTGGGCAGCATTTTATACTGGCACATGGGTCTCCTGATGGGCCAGTACTTTATTCCTTAGGAGGAGGTGCTGTTTCATTCTTTAAGTCTTTTTTTTTTTTTTTTTGGTTTTTGGTTTTTGAGACAGAGTCTTGCTGTGTAGCTCAGGGTGGCCTCAAACAGCAATCCTCCTGCCTCAGCCTTCTGAGTGCTGGGATTACAAACGTGCATCACCACACCTGGCTCTAAGTCATTTTAAAGGGATCTCTGGTTTCAGGACAGTAACACCTGGACACTGCAGGCTCTGTCGCTTCGGAAGGCAGATGCTGAGGGGTCTCTGATGGAGCCTGGTGCCTGCATCCACCCAAGGCTCCTGCTGTTCCATTTGCTATCCCTGTCCATGCTGCCTCCTGCCAATGTCCCTCACATACTGTGCACCAAGCCATCACATTTCTCCTGCCCCCTACTGGTGTCACTGCTCCCTGAAGGATAATTGCTAGAGCCTGACCATGCCTCCCTGCCACCAGAGCTCCCCCACTGTCTTGAGGCTGCAGGGGGAAGCAGCCATATTTTTCTCTCCCAGTCCCAAAGGGTGAGCCTTGTGGTTGGAAATTCCCTCCTATGCATGTGTTCTGAGTGTCAAAATTGGACTGAAAGTACAATAGGGAGCCAAAGGGCTGGGCATCATGAGGACCTTCGGTAGCTGTAGAAGCAGGCCGGACGGATGACTGCACTCCACAGTGCTTTTCCCTTGCCACAGCAGACCTCTGCACGTGTAACAGGCCACTGCAGGCCTCCGGCTTTAATCACTACTGCCTGTAGCACAGCTGACACCACTTGTGCTACAAGTCAGGGCCTCTCCTGGGGTTTGCTGTCTTTGGCCTGTGAGCCTCATTTCGTAGGGGTGCTCCCCGCCAGGGACTTTTGACACCATGTTGAGCACTTTGAAATCAATCTCTGATGCTTAAGTTTCTACGCCATCCCTCCGAGGCCATGCAGCCTGGAGTTGGCCCTGTCTAGGGAAATGCCTTGCCTTTGTGTTCAATTTTTCTCTCATTAACTCAGACAAAAACAAAACAGACACCCGTCCCACCTGTCCTATCCCTCCAGATGACAGGACTGGACTGTGCTTAGGGAGAGAATTTATTAGTTCCTACTGGAGGGTGAGAGGATGGTGACTCTAGGGTGTGTGTATGTGTGTCTGTGCACTCATACTGTGGTAGAACCCAGGGCCTCGCACGTGCTAAGCATGCCACTGAGCTGCACTCCGCCCCTGCAGCAGGATTTCTCTTTTTTTTTTTAATGTTGTCCAGGCTAGCCCTGAACTCCTGGGCTTTAGTGATTCTCCTCCTTGGCCTCCCAAGGTCCTGGGACTACAGGTGTGTTCACTGTTCCTGGTCGGACAGTGGTTCTTGATGCGTCCAGAGTTTTCACATTGGAGTTTCAAAGAGCCTAAGATGTCCTGAAACCAGACACAGAATTTTGTGTACCTGTGCTGGGTTTGTTTGGTTTTTTTCCATTTGTGCTGGGGTTTTTTTTGGAATAGGCTTTATATGTTTCATTGGAATATCTTAAAATATCTGTGATTAAAAACAAAACCAAGCCCTTAAAGGGGAAACATCCTGGAAGGGGAACAGCATGCAGACCAAGTGAAGTAGGTTTCAGATAGGCCCAACCAGTATTTTGTGACCAAAGTTTCCCCTTCTGTTTGAACCCCACATCTAGGCTCCTTGCTGCCCAATCGTCCCCTTCACTTTAGTCCTGCAGGCAGCTCAGAGTGTCTGGGAAGGTGTGTTTTTCTTGTGCTTCCTTTTCCGTAAGTTTCTTCTTTTAGAAATGAGCAGGAGAGTATGTGTGGAGCAAGCTTGCTTGCTCTCTTTGTGGCCCCAGAGTTCTTCTTTCTACCATACTCTGTGATATCTGAAAATTAATTCAGCAGAATAAACATATATATATATATTTTTTTTTTTGGTACCGGGGATCGAACTCAGGACCTTGCACTTTAAAGGCAGGCAGCAGAACCACTGAGCTATATCCCCAGCCCAAAGTATATATTTTTGTTTTACAGTATAATGTTGACAAGAGAAAAATAGTTCCTACCCTCCATGAGGTACCAGGCCCCACCACTATAGATGAAAGCTCTGGTACCTGGTCCATGAGAAGAAACAAAAACCAGGTCAGCATTTTTAGGAACTCCATCCCACTACAACCGCATCCTGAGGTACTTCATGACTTCCCAGTAGGTCCATGATGAAAT